AAGCACTTGACAAAATGAGGCAATCAAGAGAGGCAGTAAGCAGGGGCCATGCAAGGCTGTCAGGAGTTTTGCAATCTAAGTGATTATTGAGTAGGAGCACACTCTAATGATAAAAATTATCATGTGGCAAATGCATAAGCCAATAATATAGTCATTCATTATTAACTGTTTATATTGTACATAATTGTGTTATGAGAGAGAGAATTCCACCTTCCGGTTCACTCCTCAAATGCCAGCGTTTGCATCTATCTGGGATTGAATGTGGAAGCCAGAACCTCAACAGGGTTCTCCTGTGTGGATGGTGAGAATCCAATCACTTGAGCCATCACCACTACTCTCTGTTGTGCATTAGCAGGAAGTTGGAGCCAGGGGCAGAGCCAGCTGGGTATGGAGCTCAGGCACTCTGACATGGGACCTGAGCGTCTTAACTCCTGGGCTGCATGCAACCATCCCTGTTCCCTACATGCACACTGCCTGTGACTGGTAGCAGAGTAGGTCTGTGTGCCAACATCACCATAGATGTGTAATGCATTGCCCACAGCTTCAGAACTGCTATGATGTCACTCAGTGATCGGGATTTTTCAGTTCCATCATGGAGGGACCTCCACCCAACAAGGCAGTGTGTCATTGATACATCAGCACATGACTGTTTCATGTGGCATGTGATGCACTGCCTCATGCTGACCTTGCATCATAGCTTGAAATTAGCCACAGTGGGTGAGTTTACATCATGGAAATCAGCAAATGCAGAAAGCCAGGGATTGGTGGCCCACAGAGGTTGGTGTTAAGCATTCAATAGCACTTCACAAAGAATTCCTTCCACTAAGCAGTTGCTTGAGCAAAAGCTTCAATTAAATGTACATATTTGACATTGTAATGGCCATGGGAGAGCAATGCAGGTGCAGGACTTTGGTCAATATTTGCTGGGTATGGGCCCGGCAGCGTGGCCTAGTGGCTAAAGTCCTTGCCTTGAACACTCCGGGATCCCATATGGACGCCAGTTCTAATCCTGGCAGCTCCACTTCCCATCCAGCTCCTTGCTTGTATCCCGGGAAAGCAGTCGATGACAGCCCAAGGCTTTGGGACCCTGCACCACGTGGGAGACCCGGAAGAGGATCCTGGATCCTGGCTTCGAATCGACATAGCATCGGCCGTTGCGCTCACTTGGGGAGTGAATCATCGGACGGAAGATCTTCCTCTCTATATATATCTGACTTTGTAATAAAAATAAAATAAATCTTTAAAAAAAGATCTTGTGATAAAAAAAAAAAAGAAAAAAAATACCAGAACCATCGATAGCTACAACCCTCCCGATATTACACGGAGACAACACAGACATCATGCAGTGCCCAGCAGGGCTCAGCCCTGTCCAATCTCCCCTCCTCCCCTGCACACTTGTAGTTAAGTGAGTTTATCTGATGAGCCCCAGCCAAGGTAATACGAGCAGAGTAATACAGTACACATCTAGGCACGAAGACTTGGGGGTTATCACGTGACCTCCATACTTGTCTCCCTCTGCGGTGACTGCAGAGGACACATACTGGGAGGAGGGGGCCTGATCACTGAATGGCAGGTATAGCACCCACTGACTCACTTGGACTTGTATATGAGCAGGAAAATCAAGTGTGATGAATTTACGGCTTCATGTATTAATCACCGCTAACATTTAATGAGCTATGTTACGCATTTTACCTGTATCTTCTCAGTGAAGCCTCTCATTAGCCCTTGGGGATAGATAATGTCATTTTCACTTTAGAAAGAAGAGAACTGGGGGTGAGGGGAAGGAGTTGGCATGGTGGCTCAGTGAATCAAGCCACCGCTTGAAAAAACAGGCATTCCATGTCAGAATGTTTGCTTGCTTGGGCCCTGAATGCACTACTTCTAATCCGACTCTCTGCTAACATACCTGGGAAGGCAGCAGAAGATGGCACAGCTGCTTGGGCTCCTGCACCGATGTGGAGACCGATGTGGAGACTCTGGCTTGAACCAAAACTGGCTGTTGAGGCCATTTGGGGAGTGAATCTTTCAAATAACAAATCTAATGGGAGTGAAGGAGGAAGGGGGGAAGGAAGGGAGGTGAGGAAGGAGAAAGAAGCTAAAACAAAACAAAAGCAAATGATTTTCCCAGGATCCCTCAAAAGAGTAAAGGGTGACATTAGTGTCCAATCCAAGTCCCAGATGCCCTGACTCTAGAACCTTCTCTGTTCCCACCTGGAAAGGACTGACAGGACACTCAACTTTATTTAATTGCCTGTTTATTGGGCACTTACGGTACTAATCCCTGAGTAGGCTAAGATAATAAGACACCATTCCTGTGCTCCAAGGGCTCCAGGTCTATAAGGAAGGATCATACAGAGAAAATGATAATGAGGCAGATTCACAGGGAATATAGAAGAGAGAGGAGCACGATAAAAGGCATCAGAGACGTTACCAGGGGAATTCAGGCTGACCCCACAGCACAAGTGACCAAGTCAACAACAAAGAAACTGCAGGGAAATTGAGGTAGAGCCTATGGATTAAAAGGAACCTCAGATACTCATCAGCCCATGGGAACAATATTTCTAATTCAAGAAAATTATAAAATCATGAGTCTCACTCAGATCTAAAAAATAACTTGTCAGTATTTTCAAATGTCCATGTCATGTTTAAACATCCAAATATCTATTAAATGGCTTGCTTGATTTTTGTTTTGTGGGTTTGGTCCTCAATTTCCTTGCAGTTTCTTTGATGTTAACTGGTTGATCTTCAATGTCCTTATATTTGTGCGAATCTACCAGGTGATGTGTACATGAAACCCAAAGTAGCACAGGAGGTTAGCAGTGGGTGGCTGAAACAACACTGGCCATGGATTGATCACTGCTGAGCTGTGTGACAGCTAAAGGAGGGTCAATTTCAGTAAATCTTTAAAAGTTTACATAATAGGGCCCCCGGTGTGGTGGCCTGGCAGCTAAAGTCCTCGCCTTGAACATGCCAGGATCCCATATGGGCGCCAGTTCTAATCCCGGCAGCTCCACTTCCCATCCAGCTCCCTGCTTGTGGCCTGGGAAAGCAGTTGAGGACAGCCCAAAACCTTGGGACCCTGCACCCACATGGCAGACCTGGAAGAAGCTCCTGGCTCCTGCTTTGTATTGGCGCAGCACCAGCCGTTGTGGTCACTTGGGGAGTGAATCATCGGGCGGAAGATCTTTCTCTCTGTTTCTCCTCCTCTCTGTATATTTGACTTTGCAATAAAAATCTTTTTTAAAAAAAGTTTACATAATAAAATCTGGGCGATCTCCCCAGGCTCCCATCCTTTTTTCTGGAGGGTGTGGCTTAAGCCTAACCTTACCCACAGCCTAAAGCACAGCCTTCTGCTTACACGTGAAGTGTGACCTCCAACATGGCTACAAGATCAAGGGGAATACACCTGGAACATGACCTCTGATATTACTGGAAGATCTAGGCAAATAGAGTGTCATACAGCCGATTGCTGCATCTTTGGTGGGCATGGGGTCGGCTGGAAGGCTCCTTCCTACCCTCCCCTTCCTTACCCTTTAAAATCTGTAACCTGTGCATAATAAAGTGAACATTCCTCACCAGCTTGTCATCTCTGGTGATTTTTGGGCCAAAGGCCACCGTCTGCCTCACCCTCGGTGACTTCGGGGCCTGCTGGCAGGCCAAAAACACGAGAATAAAACATCTTAGAACTCTTTCCAGGCTGAGTTGTAGGGATCTACTTAAGGATGTTGGGAAGCCTTCCAGGGAAGTTAGGACAAGTAGCAGAGGTTCTTAGATGGCAAGGGGGCAGACACAAAGAAATCATCACGAGCATCACCTCCCATCATCATTGCCAGCACGGCTGACATTTGCTATCAAGAGCCAGCTACTGTCACATGAACCAGGCTGCTAGAGCAACTTCACAGCACTTCCTGCCATGGACATGCAGAAATGGGCCAAGTGGCCCAGCGCACTGGTGTGTTTTGTGTTCGTTTTTACTTCAGAGGCAGAGAAAGAGGTGTAGAGGAGGGCGGTGGAGAAAAGCTGTCTCCATCTACTAATTCACTCTCCCACTGCCCAAAAACCACAGCTGGATTAGGGCCAAACCCAGGAGCCGGGAATGTAATCCAGGTCTTCCACGTGTCAGGAATCTGATGATCTGAGTGATCTTTGCTGCTTCCCAGGACAAAAGCTGCAGGCTGGAGCTGCAGCCAGGGCTGGAACTCCTGCACGCCAATGTAGGACACACATCTTATCTAGAAGTATGCTTGCAGGTACAGGGCCCCGACATTGAGTCAGAAATTAGGGCACCCAGTACAAGAATCCTGGCTGCATCATGAACTGGCCATATGGACATCTTGGAGAAAAGCTCTTAAATTTTCAGTACAACTGCTTTCTCACCCATAACACAGTTGGAGTTCTACTCTAAGAAGCCTCTTTGGTCCAGTTATTTCATGGGGGTTTCCAAAATACTCAAGAGGGAACCTTAGGCGCTTAGCATTGTGTAGATATCCAGCTGTCCCAGCACCATGGCAGCCCTTTGCCACCATCCCCAGCAGCACCACCTCTTAGACAACCCGCCTGCACCTGCAGTTTGCTGGGCGAATGCCCCATTATGACCCACTGGCCTGTGTATATGAATCTTCTCGCTTCCTTCTATCTAAACTTTTCATCAGTAACTTTTGCCCTGTGGACTTCCTCACAACTGTTAGGCTCCCAGTCTTGGGTGTCTGTACCTGCCACGGGCCCGGGGCCTGAAGCCCGGTGGATCGAGACAGCCTCGGAGTCTCCCGGAGGCCGATGCTGTGGACGTCCACACGAGCCGGAGCCCAGGCTCGGGTGCCCTCGTGGGCTGCCCTGGCCCCGCGGCCGCACTTGCGGCGAGGTGAGCCCAGGAGCCGTAGGTCTCTATCCCAGCGGGGGCGGGACGCGGCGGCCGGGGCGGGGTCGGCGGCGGCAGGGTCCGCCTCCCGCCGCTCCGGAAGGGCGAACTCGCCTCTCGGGTTCCTCGGCGCGGAGCAAACGGCGTGGGGATGGCGACGGCGAAGGTGTCGGTGACAGAGGCTCCGGGAAGCAGCGATCCCGGTCTGGACCAGGAGACGGCCCGGTGGCTGCTCTGGGACAAGGTGCGGGGCGCACGGGGCTGGAAGTGCGCGCGCGGCCGGCCGCGGCGGCGAGTGTGAGTTCTACGCGACCTCCCCGCCCACCCGCCGGGTTGGCGGCGCGGGCCCCACGGGAGGAGGACCCCGCAGACCGGTGACTGGCTCGGAGCGGGCCGGGCAAAGCGGTCCCGGGAGCTCGCCAGCCGCGCTGCAAGCCGGGCTGAGCTGGGGCGGGGTGGCAGGGGCACGCATGCGCTGCGGTGGCTGCGCCCGGATGCCTGTGCGTCCCGGTCGGCGCGGAGTCGCCGCATCCTTGACCCAGCGGCGTCCCGGACGACCGCTCCCAACTCTTGGTTGCAGCCTTGTGGCCGCTGGAGTCTCTCCCAGGACGCCGATGTTCTGTCCGAGGACGGGAGAGGGAACGCAGCCTAGCGTTCTCCGGCGGGGCTGTGGCTCAGTGGAGCAGCGTGTAGTTCCTCGCCGCGGTCCTCTGTTCTACTTGTAGCTTATCTTGCTAGTCTTTCTGGCTCCCACGTGTCAGTTGCTTCTGCCCAAGACAATCTAAGTAAATAGCCTATCTTTTGCTTCCCAGCTCTTACTACTGTTGCAAGGAAGGAAGGTAGGCGGGAACGAAACAAAAAGCAAACACTTGTTTATTAGCTGCATTTGTCTAATGTCTACGGGGGGGGGGGGTCCTTCGAAGGACCTGTTACCTATGCAGTTTCTAGAAGGGCCGACTCTTACTTGAATGTCCTGCTGTCTTGAGTTTCCTGTCTTGATTTGCTTTTCTTTCTTTCTTTCTTTCTTTCTTTCTTTCTTTCTTTCTTTCTTTCTTTCTTTCTTTTTTTTAAATTGCATTTAATTTGAAAGGCAGGGTTACACAGAGAGAGGGATAGACAGATTTTTGCACCCATTCATTCATTTCTGCAAATGGCCACAACGGCCAGGGCTGGGCCAGGCTAAAGCCAGGAGCTTCTTCCAAGTCTCCCATGTGGGTGCAGGGGTCCACTGCTTTCCTGGGAGCCTTAGCAGGGAGATAGACGGGGCAGCCAGGACTGGAATACTTGAATAAGGAGTTACTCATTTTCACTTTGCTTGGAATGTTTGCAAATCACCCAGCCAGTACAGGGGGGGCTCTCACTAAGGTCCATGGCAAGTGTCAAGTGCAGAGCCCACACCTGGCCCACCTTCTTTGTTGAGTGGAACTGTGGCTCTGTCAACAGGAGCCACATCACGGTCTTTGATTTCTGTTCCTGTCAATGAAATGTCAGCAGGTTCTGCTTCTGGGATGCCTGGGGCAACTCCTTGGGTGCTTTTTCTTTGCTGGAAAGATAGCCTTATGATCCCAAGGGAAGGAGAAAGTTGCCAGGAGCTACTTCGGGTGTGTAGAATTGTTTTATTATAGCAATGCATGGACACAGTGTTGCATTATAGTGTCTGTTTGAAGAAAACAACTCTGACAAGCAATGCTACATCTCTTTAGAGACAGTGTTTCTCTTGGTAGAAGGAAGGGTGTGTTGTCCTTTTTTTACCTTTTTGAAAAATCTTCCTACTGCTTCTCCACTTTTCTTGGCATGAGACAGGCACCTTTCTGGACAGGAGCCCTTAACCAGACAAGCTCTTCTTGGCTAAGAGCAGCACAGCCCTCTCATCTGATGCCCCCCGAGGCTAGTGCAGTGTCTTGGCAGGTGCCCCCTGACCTCCTGTGCCTGCATTGCTAACTTTCTGCCCTGCTCTTGGGTTCTGGTTACTGCTGGAGCCAGTGCTGACCTCAGCTGTCAGTGAATCCTCAAGAGACTCCAAGGAGAGTGAGATGATTTTAATTTCTAGTCCGTGGGGCAACCTCTTGCCATAAACAAGAAGCTACCTGAACGAAACAATCGTGGGATTTTTATAGTAAGAGAATCAAAAGCTACGTGACAGTGAGCAAGTACATGATTAGAGGCTAACAGCGACACAAAACAGAAAGCATGCAACAGCAATTTACAACGTATAGGCTTGGGGGTCCTGATTATATCACTTCAATGCAGACAGTAATAACACAGCATGCCTCGAAGGTAGCTGTGTCTTTCCCTAAATCCAAAAACTCCAGGGTTATTCCTAGCTCCTTCCTGCCTCCTGGTCTTTCAGGGAAAAGGAGCTTTGCTCCTAACAGGATGCAGGTGTCTCTTTGGAGATTCCAGACTTTCAGGAGTCACACTCACCTTTACAATAAACTTTTTCAGCTTCTGTATTGATTCGCAAGGTCTTTCATCTCTTTCTGTTTTGTTTCTTTCAGACTTCTTGGTGTTTTATTGCTATCAAAGGGCAAATAGGATTTTCCAAACCTGTCCTGTGAGTGAGGGAGTCACTGCTTATTGGGTGTGCCCATGACGTTGGCTTTCTCATTCATTCAACACATGCATGGGGAGCCCCTTTTGGGTACCAGGGGTGAGCTCTAACCACAAAAGATGGGGTTTTACTTAGTGTGTGTTAGATCTGGAGCAACCTGGAGTTGTGCGATTAAGTCCCAAAAGCTCAGGTTTTGCAGCAGTAGAAGTTGAATTATGTGGACATGTCGTGCCTGGGTGCATGCCTCTCCGGGTGGTGACTGGAAGAGTGGAGTGAAGCCCTGACTCGGTTGTTCCCCTGAGTTAGTAATCTGATCATGCAATCAACTTGATTGTCATTATTTTGTCTAGTTTAATCATTCCCTGCACTCAGAGAAAGAAAATGGAATGAAAAGACAAGTTTGTATTAGTTAAGACTTTTTTTTTGACATTTTATGCATTTGAAAACAACAAAAATAAACTTACCTTTTAATTTCATTTCCCATGAACTTTTTGGAGCACCCACATAAGGCAGTGTATAATGAACTTGAGCGATTTATATAAGTTGTTTGACGTAGTTAATGACTTAGAAAAGGTACAAGTTCATGCATATGCACCTTTTTTAAGATTATTGAAAGAGAATCAGAAGCAGAGACAGAAAAAGCTCTTTTATCCGTTGGCTCTCTCCATACGGCTGCAGTAGTTGGGGCTACGATTATGCAGTTTAAGCAGATCACTCAGTCTCCCGAGGATTTCCATCTGGAAAGTGAGGTTATTGACAGTTAATCTAACTCTTGTAGATGTTGCGAGATTCAGTCTTGAGCAATATGAACACATTTACGAATTATAAAACATTATAAAACTGAGGCTTAGATTTGTATCACGTAGTCTTCGTGGAAAATTTCAAGCATGTGAGGGAAGAAAATGGATACTTAATCACTATTGCCAGCAATGTTTGACATTAAATTAATCTTAAAGGTTGTGTGCATGTAAGAGGTGCTAGGTTGTCCACACTTTACAGACGGGGACAACTGAGAATTCAAGACACCAGCTGTTCCATTCAAGTGCATGGGGTTGGTGAGCAGGAAGTCTGAATCCATGCTGGGTGTTAGACTCCTGTGCTACACCTCTGCTCATTCCAGCTCTTCCACAGTGCTGGCTGTGGTAGGAAAGATCCCTTATTCATGTCAGAAACACTGACTTTGTAGTTCAAATTTCAAAAGCATCAGAAAGCTGAAAACCCTGTGGGTATACTATCCTACGGGCTAGAATTCCTCTTCTTGCCACGTTGTGGATTGCTTTGCTCCCTTCCTTACCTGGCTGCACCTGGCATCCACATCTCTGTTTTGCAGAATCCTTTAACCTCACAATCGGTGAAACAGCTGATTGCAGATGGAGATAAAGAAGAACTGCAGAAATGTTTTGGGGCCCGCATGGAGTTCGGGACAGCTGGCCTGCGGGCGCCCATGGGAGCAGGGGTTTCTCGTATGAATGACTTGACCATTATCCAGACTACACAGGTAACAGGTTCTTAATACTTTTAATCTCTTAATCATGTCCCCTGATGGCTCCTGTACAATTGTTTTATTTATGAACGTATCTTCTTGGCTTGGATAGGCACAGAGAATGGCCAGTTTCCTCCACTAGTAAGCCTTGGGCATTTAGTTGAAGTGGCACTCGTTGAAAATCCTGTGTTCATTCATTCATCCGCCATTTATTCATTTATTCAACAAAAGTTGAAGACGCCTTTCAAAGTTTACATAAAATAGGAGCAAGAGATGTTATTTTGATGTGCAAATTTTTTTAAATACATGCATAATATTTTCCTAATATGCATTTCCCATGAACTGTTAAAGATCCTTCATATGCATGGATTTTGAAATTTGTTTCCTGAGGCAAACTTTTGGCACAATAGTTAAGGTGTTTAGATGTCTGCATCTGGCATGTTAATCACCAGAAAGAATTGTCAAATCTATTGTAGTTGGTTTTAATTTGTATTATGGGTTGAAGTTAGTGCTGGGTTCTCTTGCCTTATTTTGTGAATGCTATTGTCAGATGTGGATTCGACTTTCAGGAATAGAGATGAAGACTTGGAGAAAGCAGAGGAGGTTTCTGCTGCTGAGTGTCGGGAGAGAAGTGGAAAACAGATTTTTTTATTTTTAAGATTTATTACAAAATCAGATATACAGAGAGGAGGAGAGACAGAGAGAAAGATCTTCCATCCGATGATTCACTCCCCAAGTGACCGTAACAGCCGGTGCTATGCCAATCTGAAGCCAGGAGCCAGGAACTTCCTCCAGGTCTCCCATACGGGTGCAGGGTCCCAAGGCTTTGGGCTGTCCTCGACTGCCTTCTCGGGCCACAAACAGGGAGCTAGACAGGAAGCGAGACCGCCAGGATTAGAACCGGCGCCCATATGGGATCCCGGCGTTTTCAAGGAGAGGACTTTAGCTGCTAGGCCACTGTGCCAGGCCCTGTTTTTGCTATTTCTTATGCTATGTAAATTTCTTAAAAATGAACAGCACCTTGGTTTTGGGAAAAACTAGAAAGAGTTGACAAATGTTGATGATATTTGCCTTTTTTGTATATCTCTCTGTAAAAGGCAGACTTTGAAAAGAGGGAGGGAAGAAGAAAGGGAGAGAGAGCTTCTATTGATTTTTCTAACCTAGCTTTAAGGGTCACAGAAAGTTCCTTATTTCTGACATACTCTGTTGGGTGTGACTCCAGAGGACTGGAGAAGACTCCCACACGGGTGCAGGGTCCCAAGGCTTTGGGCCGTCCTCAATTGCTTTCCCAGGCCACAAGCAGGGAGATGGATTGGAAGCAGGGCTCCTGGGATTAGAACCATTGCCCATATGGGATCCCAGCGTGTTCAGGGCGAGGAATTTTAGATGCTAGGCCATGCCACAGGGACCCTAATTTAACGCTTTTCAATAGCCCTTTGATGAAGGTACTATTATTATCTGTGCTTTATGGAAGAGGAAACTGAGGCACCTGTGGCTTGTTTGTAGGTGGCGGTGGTGGGGCTGGGGTACAAATCCACAGATTTTGGTTCCACACTATGTGCTTCACCCCCATATTGAACCTCCTCTCCCCAGACCCAGTTACAAACGTAGACTCCTGCAGCTGGCAGCCACGGCTCTTCTCTGTCGGCTTTTCCCTCTGCTCAGTGGGATTAGACAACAAAACTGCTCATGTCTTTTTACCATTGTTTCATTATCAGGATATCATGTTCTCTGGTGAAAGTTGGTGAGCTAAATGCTTGCCTTTTTTTGTATCCTAGATGTAAAAGATGTGTTAACATGTCCCCTGTGTTTTAATTGATGGGGTGTCCCCAGGGGTTTTGCAGATACCTGGAAAAGCAGTTCAGTGACCTGAAGCAGAGAGGGGTCGTGATCAGCTTTGATGCACGCGCTCACCCCCCCAGTGGGGGAAGCAGCAGAAGGTATGTGAACACTGTCAGCAGTGACTTTTTTTGTAGTTTATAGTTTGAGTTTCAGTCACCCTTTCAATGTCTTGACTTCTTAATGATGCAGCATAACTACAAACACAACTGATTCTGTTTGCAATGTTTAATCTTGTTTGTATTTGAATTAAGAGAATGAAATTATTGAAGCCGGTGCTGTGGTGTGGCAGGTAAAGCTGTCACATGCCAACATCCCATATGGATGCCAGTTCGAGTCCCAGCAGCTCCACTTCCAAAACAGCTACCTGCTAATGCACCTGAGAAAGCAGCAGCAGAAAATGGCATGAGTGCCTGGGCCCCTGTACCCACCTGGAAGACCTGGAAGAAGCTCAGGCTCCCAGCTTCATCCTAGCCCAGCCCTAGCCGTTGGACTATTTGAAGGGTGGACAGCAGATAAATCTCTCTATATAACTCTGCTTCTCAAATAACAAATAAATCTTTAAGAAAGAAAGTAACTTCATGCCTTCTAGTAAATACAGTTTGGATTTTACTACAATTTTTAGTAAAATGTTTTTCAATTAGCTTCCTTTCAAGACCAAGAGCCAGGAGCTTCTTCTGGTTCTCCCATGTGGGTGCAGGATCCTGAGCGTTTGTGCTATCCTCAACTGCTTTCCCAGACCACAAGCAGGGAGCTGGAAGGGAAGAGAGCAGCCAGAATATAAACTGGCATCTATATGGGATCCTGGCACAGGGAGGCAAGCACTTTAGCTACTAGGCTGCTGAGCCTGGCCCTAACTTCCATTTTTAAATTGTTTTTCTTTAACTGTCAGAGTCAACTCTGTTAAAGTGCATAGATTTCCTGTGTGCCCTAGCCAGTGTAGTAGCCAAGGAAGCTGGAGCTTGAATGCCTGTGGGGAGACTGTGTGCTCTGCTGGATGATCCCTGTGGCGCTCTCGCATGATTCCCTGGGAATCATATGCTCTTTTATTTGGGGCAGAGCATTATCCAAGCCTGAAGATGAAATATCAAAGCCTGATAGCTTGTACTAAGCCCATTGCTCTGGAAATGGAGAAAAAGGTCTAATATTAAAGTCTTAAAGATTGTTTGGAACCCATTTAGTATATGTGTGTGTAAGCACATATGTATGTACATATGTCTGTGAGAATATCAGTTCTGTGTTGTATATGGATTGTGATAGGAGTGGGTGAGGGGTCATTGGCCTCTTATGGTGATGGGGTGTGGGAGGGGGTTCACACGGAGTATGATTCCTTTTTTTTTTTTCTTATTAAGATATGTCTTTTTATTTGAAAGGCTGAGTTAAATGGAAGGTAAGAGAGATCTTCAACCACTGATTTACTCTCCAATGGCTATGATAGCCAGGGCTGGGCCACTCCAAAGCCAAGAGCCTGAAACTTCCTACAGGGTCTCGCATGTGGGTGCAGGGACTCAGGTACTTGGGCTGTCTGTTGTTTTGTCAAGATCCATCAGCAGGAGCTTGGTCAGAAATGGAGCAGCTAGGACGTGAGCCAGCATGGCATGCGAGCTTCGCAGATGTCATATAATGTCATAATGATGCTGGCACCTCTGTGGTTCTTTGGTAACACCCTTTCAGTGCACTGACTGGTGTCAGCAGCATCTCTGGATTCTATCTGTTAGCTGCTGGTAGTACTTGCCGCTTCCCATACAGCCCCAGACATGTCAGGTATTGCCTGGGGGACAGAATTCCTTGGCTGCTGACCACTGAGATGGACAAGAGGGGACATGCGTGTGTGCAGGCCCAGCTCAGCTGCTAAGTGGCTGTTGTGCATGGAGCAAGGAGCCTGGCGCTTCTTGGCCTTGATCTCAGGTCTGTAAAATCTAGGAGTGCAGCTGGATGACTCCCAGGGGTCGTCCTACCTTCCTCATCTGTGGCAAAGTGAGTGCTTGTCTGATAAATGTTTCCTGGGTCTGACTGTGCTCCACACAGGCAGGTTCTCAGCATGACACCCACCTTTCCTGTCCCCTTGCCCATGTGTTCACAGCGGGCTCTGCTTTTTCTCCCTGCTTTTTGTGTCTCCAGGTTTGCCCGACTTGCTGCAACCACGTTTATCAGCCAGGGGGTTCCTGTGTACCTTTTTTCCGATATTACGCCAACCCCCTTTGTGGTGAGTCACCATTTTCTGTTAGGATTTCCTGTCACGGGGTCCTGGGTGGGATGTGGCAGCCTTTGACATCCTGGAGTGCTGGGCCTTTCCAGCGTTTGAGTGACAGAGAGCTCATGGACATATTTCACACATGCTGTTTCTCCGGGGAGATCCCTCGCATCTCCTCCCCAAGGATCTCTCTTAAAAAAAAAAAAAGATCTTTTTAATTTGAAAGGTGGAATTACAGAAAGAAACAAGAGACCTTCCATGCACTGGTTCACTTCCCAAATGGCCACAATGGCTGGGACTGGGCCAGGTGGAGCCAGAAGCTTCTTCTAGATCTCCCATGTGGGTGCAGGGAACCTGAGGGAAAGGTAAATGAAGAACTTGTAAGAGCCCCCACTCCTTTTTTGTTTTTTTCTAAGAGAGAGAGATATTTGTTTATTGGAAAGGCAGAGTTATAGAGGGAGGAATCTTATCTTCCATTCTCTACTTCACTTCCCAAAGAGCCACAACAGTCATTGCTGGGCCAGGCTGAAATCTGGAGTCTGGAGCTTCATCCAGGTCTCCCCTCTAGGTACAGGGACCCGAGTGCCTGGACCATTTTCCCCTCTCCCAGGTGCTTTCCTGGGAGATCAGCAAGGAGCTGGATCTGAAATGCTGCTGCCAGGATGACGCTTCAGGTGACAGGCTAATGGACTTTGGCACAGCACTGGCTCCACAGCACCCTTATCCCTCAGTCTTTTCTTTGAAAGCAAATGAGAGAAAGGAAATAGTTGGTAAAAATAAATGAACTCTAAAAGATTCTGACCCAAATGGGGCTTGGTGGCTTGGACCATTTTTTGTGTGAATAATCTTCTAGCTCTGCCAAGAAAGTGGTAGAATGAGAAAACACTGAAGACATGATCCATCATTCTTGTTAGAATGCATGTCCTGGGATTTGGAGTAGCCAGTTGTTTCCAAGGACAGTAGGGTTACAGTAGGGCCTCCTTATCTGTAGGGCGTTCATTCTAAGACGCTCAGTGGGTATCAAACTGTGGGTCATCCCAAACCCCTTATGGGTAGGTACCAGCTCGCACTCTACATGCACGCCAATGATGAAGTTTAATTTATAAATTAAGCACAGGCAGACACAGAAAGACAAATCCCACATGTTCTCCCTTTTGTGGGGGAGCTGAAAGTTTTAAAGAATTAAGCACAGTAAGAGATTTACAGTAGTATCTAGTAATTGTATAATTATACAATTATGAAGCATGAGAGTTAGGTTTTCTCAAGTGTGTCAAGATAACTAGCACTGTTTCAGACCACAGCAGGCCATGATGTAGCTGAAAGCGTGGGTAAGGGAGGGCTAGCCACTGTGTACTTCTCAAGAGTGACACACAAGCATTTAATAATGCCTTACAGTACTCCTGTGTTTACTAAAAGGGAATACTTGGCATAAACAGCATGTAATAGACATTTTAAGTATGCCTGTGTTTTTGTTAAAGACTGTTTGTTTCCTGCCTTTACAGCCCTACACAGTGTCACATCTAAAACTTTGTGCTGGGATCATGATTACTGCCTCTCACAACCCAAAGCAGGACAATGGTTACAAGGTATTTCTGTTTTTCTCTCTCTGTACCTGCATCCTTCAGTAGGAATCCTGTACCTTTGGGAACCTGGAGGACAGATGCTGTATTTGCATTAACCCTAAACTCTCTTGGTGTCTGCCACGCCCTGCAGGTCTATTGGGAAAATGGAGCCCAGATCATCTCACCACACGATAAAGGAATTTCTCAAGCTATTGAGGAGAATCTGGAGCCATGGCCTCAAGCCTGGGATGATTCCTTGATTGACAGTAGTCCACTTCTTCACAACCCAACAACTTCCATCCATGACACGTACTTTGAAAACCTCAAACAATACTGTTTCCACAGGTAATTGGACTGCTTCTACAATGACCTTAGTTACATCATGCTAATATGATTCAGCCAAACTCTATCCACTTTCACTGACTTTCTTTCTTAATGAGTGCATATGCAAGAGCTGTGTCTGATTGTAGAGTCTGTGGGTCAAGGATCGCAAACTATAGGAGCTGATAGTAAGTTTGTGGCTCTGCAGACCCAGGGTCTCTCAGCAGCTTACCCCTGCCATCACATTAGGAAAACAGCCAGCACTGACATGTGAGTGAAGGAGTGCTCAGCTAGCTGTGTGCTGCCCATAACTTAAAGTAAGGACAGGTGACCAGCCTGGGCCACAGTGTGTGCACCTGTTGTAGATTCCTCTGTACCCACCGTTTTTGCATCTAGGAGTTCAACCAGTTGCAGACTGAAGCTAGACTGCATCTGGGCTGAAGGGGCCACCACACCCGCTGAGCATCACCTGCACAGATGCAGCTGAGCATTGGGGCTTTCTCCCCAGGAAGAACTGGAAGCCTGGATTTTGTATCTGCAATTTCCTAATTTCTGAATATTGAGACCCATTTTTTTCCTATTATATATCATCCAAACAAACCACATCTTCAGAACTTCCCCTGTCGCTCTGATTTTGTTCCATAAAGATCAAAGTGTTTCTGGTTTTTTGCAACTCCAGGCAGCACTGGAGACAGTCCCTTTGTGCACAATTCATGGAAAGAGAGAAAGAGTGACGTGCGTGTGTGTGTGTGTGTGTGTGTGTGTGTGTGTGTGTGTTTGCATCCGTAAGAGACCTTCCTGGTATCAGAATGGTATATGCATTCACCAAGTTGACAGGGGCTTCGTGAGGCTGCCCAGGAACATTGTTAGGGCAGTGGGTGCTGCCACCAGCAGTACATACAGTGTGTGATGCCCTGGTCCCCACCTGTGCTGAGTGGTGCCTACCTGAATCTCATTTCTCCAGTTTGCTAGATGAAAATAATATTTCACTTTAATATGTGTTCCTTAGTTCGCTTACAAGTAAACTTTTTCTGTGTGCTTATCTTTCATATTTGGAAAAGTTGTTTTTTTATAAAGTACTTTTCATTCCATTGCCTTTTTTACTGAAGTTTGTTTTTTTTTAATTGGCGATATGTAGTAGTCCTTTAATTTATGGCTTCTGAGCTTTCTGCCATACATAAAATTCTTTTTCAACATCCGATTATATATTTTTTGAATTCTTGTTGCTTGTTTCCTAGAACCCTCATGCTTGCATTTTTTTTTTTTTTCAATCTTCACATAGTTAATTAGGGCACAAAGGTTCAAGGGCTACAGGAAAGTGGGTAAGACTATTATTTCCACATTTTTTTCCTGTATCTGGGGTAAAGGGGGAGGTAAAGGGAGAAGCCCCACCCAGTCTCCCACCCATCCCAGGTTCCCATTGTGTCCTACTCTGAAAGTAGAAGAGCTGTACCAGCAAAATCTGAAAGTGATCAGGTTTGCTGAAAATCAATACAGAATAAAATTTAAAACTTGGCTGTGTTGGGATGTATGCATACCTTAGGGAGAAAGTAGCTAGTTTTTTTAGATTTATTGTGTTTTTTATTGCAAAGTCAGATATACAGAGAGGAGGAGAGACAGAGAGGAAGATGACTCACTCCCCAAGTGACTGCAGCTCCTGGAACTGAGCCGATCTGAAGCCAGGAGCCTGGAGCTTCTTCGGGTCTCTCACACAATGCAGTAATGCAAGCGTTTGGGCCGTCCTTGACTACTTTCCCAGGCCATAAGCAGGTAGCTGGATGGGAAGCGGGGCAACTGGAATTAGAACCATTGCCCATATGGGATTCCTGCGTGTTCTAGGTGAGGACTTTAGCCGTTAGGCCACTATGCTGGACCCATGGCTAGGTTTTATTTTTTTTTAAAGCAGCTGATTTTAGAATTATTTATTTGTTTATATTTTTCATTTGAAAGATAAAGACAATTTACTCCCTAAATGTCTTCAGCTGCCAGGGGACAGGCTCAATCCACATCTCCCTCTGGGTACAAGTGCTCGGGCCAACACCTGCTGCCTGCAGAGGTATGCACCAGCAGGAAGTGGAAAGCTGAAGCAGCAAACAGAGGCAGGACTTGAACTCAGAGACTGACGTGGGATCCAGGTGCCCCAAGCTGTAGTTCAACCCCTGGGCCAAACTTTGTCCCTGCCCCAACCTACTTCTAGTTTTTGAATGAAGTGAAAAGACAGCCAATTGGCATAACTGTTCTTATTCCCTTGTTTTTTTTTTTGTTTTTTTTTTTAACGTTCTTAAGAATCTGGCTCTTTTATGGCTTTGCAAACCGCTCCAGTTTTGAAAGGTGTAGATATGTCTTTGATCGTTTTCCATGATGTGTCTGATTCTAGGAATGTCAACAGGGAGACCAAGGTGAAGTTTGTGCATACCTCTGTCCACGGTGTGGGTCATGCCTTCGTGCAGTCGGCTTTCAAGGCTTTTGACCTTGTTCCCCCTGAGGCTGTGCCCGAGCAGAAAGATCCTGATCCTGAGTTTCCTACCGTGAAATACCCAAATCCTGAAGAGGGTCAAGGGGTCTTGGTAACATGATTTTTTTGAACTATAAAATTCACCTTTCATTGTCCAAATTATTACAATCAAGTAAAATACCTTTTTATATAGTTGCATCATGCTACAAGGAAACTAAACTTAATCATTGGAAACATTCATGTTTATTAATCATTAATTTTTTATCAAGAGTTTATTTATTTGTAAGAGTTACAGAGAGAGATCATCCATTCACTGATTCACTCACTCCTCAGATGGCCACAATGGCTGGGGCTGAGCCAGATCAAAATTGGGAACCAGAAGCTTCTTCCAGGTTCCCATGTAGGTGCTGGGGCCAGAGATCAGGGCCATCTTTCACTGCTTTCCCCAGGCACATTCACAGGGAGCTGGATTAGCAGTGGAGCAGCCAGGATTCAAACTGGCACCCATAGGGGATACCAGCACTGCAGGTAGTTGCTTAATGTGGTAGCCACAGCACGGGCCCAGTGCCAGCCCAGTCATTAATTTCATAAAAGTAGTCCAAGTGAGCCTAGCATATGAGTATAGCAGCAGAAATCTAAATAATTTTAAAATGTAATTTCATTTCATTAAAATTTAATTAACTATTCTTATTTATTGCCAAAAAGAAATAGTAATTGAAGAGAATTTTATCCTATTCTAATTTGTATTCCTTGTCATTTCCCTAATAAGAAATGTTTAAATTATGGTTGAGAGTTAAAATAGCAGGGGCTAGAATATTGGTATAACAGGCTAATCCTCCACCTGCCAGTGTGCCTGCATCCCATATGGGTGCCAGTTCGTGTGCTGGCTGCTCTGTGTCTCTGTCCAGCTCCCTGCTTGTGGCCTGGGAAAGCAGTGGAGGATGGCCCAGGTCCTTGGAACCCTACACCCATATCAGAGACCCAGAAGAAGCTTCTGATATCTAGGCTTTGAATCGTCTCAGATGTGACGTTTGGGGAGTAAACCAGCAAGTGGAATATCTCTCTGTCTCTATGTAACTCTGACTTTCCTAGTAAAATAAATAAATCTTTTTTGTTTTAAAGATCAAGTTGCAATGATATTCAAAGGTTAAGTAATATTGATATTTAAAGAGTTAGAGGCGGGTCATATAGCAATGTCTAGAAATACTTGTTATATGGTAGGCTGACTACGTGGAAAGCTCACTGATGTCTAGAAAGATAGCATCTGAGCAGTGAAGACCACCTTCAGAAATAAAATGTAGCATTCATTTGGGAAGTTTTTAATTCTTTAAGAACTGAATTTAAAAAAAAGATTTATTTATATAAGAAACAAGGTGACAGAGGAGACACGGGGTGGGAAAGAAGAGAGAAAGATCCTGTGTCTTCTGATTTACTTCTCAAGTAATTACAAGAATCAGGTCTCCTACAAGGGTGGCAGGCCCAAAGCACTTGGGTGGTCTTCCACTGACTTCCCAGACAAATTAGCAGGAAACTGGACTGGACACAAACCTGTCCTCTGATATGGGGTACCAGCGTGGCAAGCAGTGGCCTAACGTGCTGTACCATAATGAGGACTCTAAGACCAAATGTTTTTAGGGACTACAATGTACTCAGTTCATGATTTACATAATCTTTTATTTCATGCTCTTTTTACAGACTTTATCTTTTGCTTTGGCTGAGAAAACCAAGGCTAAAATCGTTTTAGCAAATGACCCAGACGCTGATAGACTTGCTGTGGCAGAAAAGCAAGACAGGTAAAATGACTTCTGATGGTCCTGAACAATGGAAAACATCAAGGGTGGCATCTTGAACTGTAAACCTCTCCTGGGAGACAGCACCTATGCGAAAACAGCTCTCATTTGTTTTGCAAACGACTGTCCCACACAACCCCCTGTGGAGAGTTATAAGGTGTAGCAAGATGCTAAAGATTGGGTGTCACATTGTTGGCAAACTTAATGCACAGTAAATCCACCGAGTATGCTTTTGGAATTGAAATTACTGTGTGTGACCATTCCTTGTTCCTAATCAAATTTATTATAAAGTAATGTCTCAATGTCTGATGAGAGCTAAGTGCTTGGCATGATGCTGGCTTTGCAATTTAGTGTTGGCTGATGGGCTTGATAAGCTGGAATTTTCAAGAAAATGTTGAACTTAGGTAAAACTGACCAAAAGGAGTAACTTTGGGTGTTTAAGACAAGTTTGACCATAGAACAGTAAGCAAGTGGGTAAGAAAGTTGAAAACAAGGTCGAACCTGAGCCATTTGAGGGAAAAATACCTGTGATATTTTGGGAACAGTGGGGTTCTGCTGAAAGGTTAGGGTTTTAGAGTAAGATAAACCACTCTGGCTTCTGTGTCCGATTTTACAGTTAATGTGATCAACACTAGGTGCGTAATACACACAGTTATCTTCTGCTGTCCTGACAGTTTGAAGGTTAAGCTTAATCTCAAGGAGTGCTAAGCTCTCACTGTCTCAGAGTTAGCGTGCCAGACCCAAAACCAAGGGTCCTAGGTGGAGCTGATTCTGCTGATGTTTAAAGCCAAAGAATAAAATAAAAGCATCCCGTGTCATCACTGGCATACATGGTTTATATGATCTTCTGAAACAGATGTTTGTCTTGACATGATGGCTGACATGTTCAGGGCTACAGTCACATTTCTGGCCAGTTATTCCAAGATGGTGCACAACATGAATGTTCTTGCAGAAGATGCCTTGAACCTTGCTCGTGTCATTGTCCTCTCCCAGGGCTTCTGAAAACACTGAAATGGATATGTGGGTTGTTTTTTTTTCCTCCAGTGGTGAATGGAGAGTGTTTTCAGGCAATGAGCTGGGAGCCCTCCTGGGCTGGTGGCTGTTTACTTGTTGGAAAGAGAAGAAGCAAGATCAAGGTTCCCTCAAAGATGTATACATGCTGTCCAGCACCGTGTCCTCCAAAATCCTGAGGGCCATTGCATTGAAGGAAGGCTTTCATTTTGAAGTAAGGAATCAGAGATTTCTCACTTGTTTTCTTTGCTTTTATGTGGTGGAAAATCTAAGGCCTTTCTTTTTCTTTTGCAATATCCCCATAGGAAACATTAACTGGCTTTAAGTGGATGGGAAACAGAGCCAAGCAGCTAGCAGACCAGGGGAAAACTGTATTGTTTGCATTTGAGGAAGCTATCGGTAAGAAGTGATAATTGTGCTTATAGACTCAATTAATATAAAAAAGACTATAAACAGACTTGGAAAAGGCCTGGATTTGAGCATAAACCAACAGGAGTCAATCATAAGAATGTGGGTAATTTTGATTCTCCGGTGGTTCAGTGCCATATCTTCCCTTTCCAAAATGGATGTCTTGAAATTTTTCTAGTAGGAAGGAATATGTTACAAATGATGGAGTCATCCACAGATGACTAAAAAAAAAAAAAAAAATCATTCTACACATGGGTCCTGGTGGCTTGAGAATGCCCATATTTCAGGAGCTGTGATGTGTCTTCAACTGTGGTGTTTAATATTCAGATCTAATCTAGTCTGTCCCCTTCCAGTAGAGCCAGTAAGGATCCATGCTGAGGTCTGTCCAGGAGAAAGCAGGAGGCAAGGTTGTGGTGTTCTCATCTAGTCGCGGTCACTCAGGAAAGTGACCCGGGTCTAGCTGCAATGGTGCTTATCCTAAGCTGTTTGTCACAAATGAGCAGAAGAAAAACTAGCTGTAGAAATTCGAAAATCACGTATTTGAACCTGGAATTTTTTTTTTTAGTTTTTAATGTTGCAAAATAAGCTATTTATATGCATTTTTTATATTTCCTGAATTAAGTAAATGTCAAGATTAGTTTGGTTTAGAAATAAAACTTGCAAATGAAGTCTTAATTGGAGGTCATCCTGTGCAAAATATGAAACAACTTAGGTTAAAAAAAAAATCAGTGCAACATATTTTAACAAATCTTTCTGTGGTGTATTCGTTAAGCTACACACATATCTTAAAGAGATTTACAATACGTGTAACTGGTAAACGTCTATATAGCATAATTCTATATTTTTTGTGAAAAATAGGTTTTTAGGAAAGGACAAATCCATGCGTATCAGTCTTTTAAACTGATTAGGTGAGGTGAAATAGCTTGGTTTTTATCCTCTTTTTTTTTATCAAATTTTATTTGTTTTACTATTTGTTTATCAGATATTAACTATAAATCTGTTACTCAGTAACAAGAAATTGATAATCCTGACCTTAGCCTACAGAAGTTTATATAGCTTTAGTTAAGTAACTGCACAGATGTGTCTAGACCAGATGTTAGGATGGGTCATGTAACTTATCAAGACTGATGGGAACTCAAAGTAGAAGGCACTGTTTATTAACTAGAAAAGGAGAAACAGTTTCTTAACTAGGGAAGCTAGCAATCAGGAGGGGAGGGGGGAAATCTTACAGGTGACTCAACAAATACTTCTGGAAGGCCTACTTAGTGTAAGGCACTGTGTTAAATCTTGAAACATATGAAACTAAACAAAAAACATGCACAGGTTCAAAACTGTACATCCTGTGCTGTGACAAGGCCAGGGTGCACATGCGCGCACGCACACACACACACACACAGGTTGGCTTGGCAGTGTAGCAAAGGACCCCTAAGCATGTGTGTCTCTACAGGGTACATGTGCTGCCCATTTGTTCTGGACAAAGATGGAGTCAGTGCCGCCGTCATCAGCGCAGAGCTGGCCAGCTTTCTGGCAACCAAGAATTTGTCTTTGTCTCAGCAGCTGAAAGCCATCTATGTGGAGTAAGTTTGTGTTGAATCTAATTGGATTCAGGGTTTTAAATGTTGTCTTCATGGTTTATTTTAAAGAGTTATTTAGTTTTCTTGGATAGTCAGATTTACAGAGAGAAGGAGCTACAGAGAGCAAGATCTTCCATCTGCTGGTTCACTCCTCAAGTGGCCAGGATGGCTGGAACTGAGCTGATCTGAAGCCAGGAGCTTCTTCCGGGTCTGCCATGTGGGTGCAGGGTCCTAAGGCTTTGGGCCATCCTCAACTGCTTTCCCAGTCCACAAGCAGGGAGCTGGAAGGGAAGTGGAGCAGTCAGGACACAAACCCACGTCCTTATGGGATTCAGGCATGTGCAAGGCAAGGGGTCCAGCCACTGGGCCCTGAAGTCAGGGTTTTAAATGTTGTCTCATGTTCCTATGCATGGGACACTAGTCTTTCTAATGCTTTTGCTTTGGTGGTGAATTCTATTTCTAGTGAAAATGAAGGGACAAATCTTTTCCTTTTGATGCTTAACCACTTACTAATAGTTACCACTGCCAATAACCTTAATTCGTAACAATTGAGAACCTTAGTTGCAGAAATGGCTGGTTGAAGAATGTGATTTCAAGCTGGCAATGTCAAAGAGTAATTGCGTTGGTAACGTGTCTGTTCAGCATCTGCATCAAGCACTCCGCTTTGCCTGAGTTGTCCTAAAGCATACAGCGCACACAGAGCATTCAAAGGTGTTGGTCTCACGAGGCTGTATGGTAATAGAACTTACAGACCGGGACAAGTATTTGACAACCATCTTTCAGTCCCTGTTGGATTTCTTTTTTTAATACTCAGTTATTCCTTTGAAACCAGAAATAGTTATTTGTTTCATCGATTTTTATTTTTACTCCAGTGGTTGATATATGTCCTGTATACTTGCTGTAGAATTATTTGCTCTTCGTTTTACGTAACTTTATATTTTTTTCATAGGTATGGCTATCATATTACAAAAGCTTCCTATTTTATTTGCCATGATCCAGAAACCATTAAAAAATTGTTTGAAAACCTGAGAAACTATGATGGGAAGAACAATTATCCAAAAGCTTGTGGCAAGTTTGAGATTTCTGCCATTAGAGACCTCACGACTGGCTATGATGATAGTCAACCTGATAAAAAAGCTGTAAGTAATGCTTACCCTTTTCACCTAAAATGCTCAGTTTGCCACTGTGAGTAATTTGAATTACTTCACTCACTTTATTTTATAATTACTTGACACTGCTTTTAGGCATCATTCTAAGGAAGATAGAAAATACATGAAAAAATTTTTTAAAAAATGGCTTATCACTGAAAAGAATCTTCGTCCTCTGAGCTGGTGTTGTCACTTGGCACCCTCGGGAGGGAGGAACCTGTCTGGTCCCACAGGTGACTGGTCCTGGGAGAACCTGGCTGTTCTGACAGAGGGCCCAGGTTTTCCTCCCTGTCAGCAGATGTGAACAGTATCAGAGTCACACGAAGGGTTGGTAGAAATGCAGACTGCCTGAACCCACCTGGAGTGTCCAGTGGAGTGGGTCTGTGTCGGAGGGAGGGCAAGAGTTTGTACATCTAACACATTTCCTGGTGATGCTGGTGCTGAGGTGATGGTTCACCATTTGAGAACCACTCTTTGCTTTCTAGCCGGTTTAATCCAGCTCTCTGAAAGTCACGGAGCTGTTAGCTGCTCAAACACCATGGATCCCCCACCCCGGAAGTCAAAGACAGCCTCGGGGATTGTCATTCAATATATTCATTAAGCCATTGGTGGGGATGGCTGCATCCCATATTGAGTGCCTGATTTTGAGTCCCAGATGTGCTCCTGGCTTCCTCTTCCTGCTGATATGTATCCTGGGTGGCAACAGGTGACGGCTCAAGTCATGAAGTCCCTGACACCCTGATGGGAGACCCTCTCTGAGTTCTTCATTCCTGGCTCTCTCCTGGCCTCTTGTGGACATTTGAGGTTTTGAGAAGATTCTCCCTCTCTGTCTCTCTTCCTCCCTCCCTATCTTCTCACCACCCTTCAAATATATTCAAGCATTTAAAAAAAATGTCTTAAAGAAGGCCCAAAAGTGGCCGAGCGTTGCTGACCACAGCAGTGACTGAGAAAGGAGATTAAGAACATCCCCTGAGAGATTACACCTGTCCATGTTGTTCATCACTTTCAATTTTTTGTTTTCATCTGCACATAGCATATTTTTTACAGATAGTGTTACAAGGGTTAGGGTAGAACAGGTGAGCCTGCCCACTGTAGCTGGTTGCCATGCAGAGCCAGCCACAGCTGTTTGTCAGACGGGCATTTTTGTACCAGCTAGCGTCTAAAGAATGTGCATATATGGCAGGTTTCAGTTTCACCTGGCTCAGACTGACCTTTGTCATCCCCTGCCCTTTGTCATCCTCTGCCCTCCATACCTCCTTTCTGTCCTCAGAGTACAGTCATACCACAGCTTAAAACTCCATCAGATTCCAAGCTTTATTGTTGTGACTAGTCACTGTTGTGGTCTGCTTAACTAAGTGGTCTTATTTTGATTAGGTTTTCCTAATTTGTATAGTTATATTTGTTATAATTGATGGTTGCTTTGTTCTTTTGTCAGATTTTTTTTTAGAAGATTGTTTTCTTTATTCACAAGGCAGAGAAAGAGTGGACACAGAGTACCTCCATCCACTCGTTCACCCCCAAAATGATCTCAAGAGCCAGAGCTAGGCCAAGCCAGGGTTTCTGTGTTATCAGTTTCCAGTTCTCAGATCTTTTAAATACATCTCAAGACAGTTCTTCTTATGGTCCAAGCAGTCAGCTATTCTGTCCGCTCCTTTTTGCTCCCAGCAGCCCCTTTCCTGGTGCCCCTCCCGGGCCACAGCAGCTGCTCTCTGGGATGGGTGCCCCTCCCAGGCCACAGCGGCCACCCCCTCGGATGGGTGCCCCTCCTGGGTCAAAGCAACCTTTCTTTGTGTTGGGTGCACAGTCATTGCCCTAGGAATGCCGTTCACAGGGTTGAAGCCCTTCCTTTTGACCTCGTGGGTTCCTCTTTCTGTACTTTCCTAGGTCACATCCTCTGGTCAGTTCCTGAGAAAGTGAATGGGGGGCTGGTAAACTTTGGAGGCAAAGATGTTGGGATCTCCTGAGTACACTGTTGAGCTGTGGCTTTGGAAGCTCTGCCCTGCAATTGCATCACTTTGACATGTTGCACTGAACATCCTGACATTCTTTCAGTTGGTGGCCAAGGCCTGCTGTGTGTCACATACAGGGATGCTGTGGCCATGCTTCACCTTTTCCATGTAAATCAGTTGTTTTTCTTTTCACTTTGACATCTTAGGCAATTGTGAGTCTTTAGTGTCATGTATTCATACTAGCCTATTCCTGTTCACTTTTCTGGGTCTGTTGTGTTGTGTGGAGTCACTCTTTGTGTTCTGGAGTGTACAGTGATGATGTGGGCTGGCCAGTTAGTTTTAAATACCTGTGTTTCCTGCTCTTCATTCCTGAAGAGCTCTTAGAGGTGGCTCTGCACAGCCTGAGGCTCAGTCATTCAGGCTCCTTTCTTTCCTGTTGTCTGTCTCTGTCTTGTCTTGGGGAGATTTCCTCAATGTTGACTTCCAGTGCTTCGATTGTGTATTAGCTCGCTCTTAAAAATGGCATTCTCTTCTTGTCTCTTCTTGTTTCCAGTATAGCACAGCTTGTCTCTAAGGATAGTAGTGATAGCTTTTTAAAAATGCAGACTTTTCCTCCTGTATTTATTTCCTTCAAGTTCCTTCTTTTTTTTCCTATTTACTTTCGATTGTTTCTTCTTTTAAGTCTTTCACAGTAGTCTGGTTATCCTTTCCTGTCCTTTGGGTACTTGAAAGTTGACTGCATGGTTAAGCTTTAGCCTAACAGGTAAGCTAAAAAAACACCACGGTCTCATCCTGGAGTAGCAGATTTGAAACCTAGTTCAGCTCTGGTTTACCGCCAGCTTTTCAGACCTAGGAAACAGCAGAAATAACTACTGTTCCTGCCACGCACATGTGAGAACTGGACTGAGGTCCCAACTCCTAGCTTTGGCATGGGAAGTGAATTAGTGAATGAAATCTATCTGTTTTGATGTGGTGTGTGTGTGTGTGTGTGTAGGAAGTATGTGTAAACACATCCTAAATAAATTTACTGACTTTAAAAGGGATTGTTTTTAAAAAGCTGACTGGACTCTGGGGATTCTGGTTCGTGTGATGGTCAGTTCTGCCTTAGTGCAGTGAACTACCCGAGACCGGCACTTTACAAGGGAAAGCATTACCCAGCTCACAGTTGCAGAGGAGGAACGTATGCACAGTATGACACAGACCCTGGTGCCTGCTGGCTGGATGCACCTCCTCCTGGCAGGTGGCACTGAGAGGGAGGAGCTATGACAGATCCCATGAGGAGCAGGAGCTCTCCCTGCAGAATCCTTTTGGTAGCTAACAAAAGTAGGGAGATAAAAAGCTAGTATATAGAATTATTTCTAAATATGTTTTAAAGGATGTGTTTGAAAGGTAGAGTAACAGAGGAAGGAGAGACAGTTGCCATAGGTGGGTGGTGGGAGGGGAACATATCGCATTCACTGGTTCACTCTCCAGGTGGCCACAGCAACCAGATCTGGGCCAGGCCAAAGCCATGAGCCAAGAATTCCATCCTGATCTCCCACATGTACCTGGACCTCTTCACCTTTTCAGGCACGTTAGCAGAAAACTGTATTGAAGCAAAGCAACCAGGACTCAAATACACACTCAGTATAGGATGCCGGTATTACAAGCAGCAGCTTATCTCACAGCACCATAGCTCTGGCCTGAACATACTACAGCACCACAGCTCTGGCCTGAACATACTATCAACCTGAATATACTTTTTCTTTTGCCACAATGGGCAGGAGTGGGTCAGTCCAAAGCCAGGAACCCCGCGTTTCTTCAGTCTCCCATGTGCAAAGACCCCAGGCTCTTGGGCCAGTTTCCATTGCTTTCCCAGTCATATTAGCAGGGAGCTGGATTAGAAATGGAGCTGGAACTCAAACCAGCACCCATAATGGGATGCCAGCAACACAGAAGGCAGCTTTATCTACCATGCCACAGTGCTGGTTTCCTTAGACCCTTTTTAAAACAATATTTTTGGCATCAGTTTTTCTTATCAGGGAAAAATGCTGATAATGTCCAAACATTTTGTATTACAATTTAATATCAAAGTGTATGGGATGGGGTTTGGCATAGTGGTTAAGACATGAGTAGGACTCCTCATGTCCAGTATCAGAATGCTTGGATCTGCTGTGGAGCCCTGTGGGAGACAGCAGCTGATTGGTCAGGTAATGAGGTCCCTGGTACCCAGTGGGAGGCCTGGATTGAGTTCCTGGCTCCTAGCCTTGACCTGGTACAGTCCTAGCTGTTGGAGACTTTGGGGAGATGAACCAGTAGATGGGAGCTCTCTGTTTCTGGAATAGCAATTGTTAATAGTAACATTACGTTTCTTCATACAATCCTAGGTTCTTCCTACCAGTAAAAGCAGCCAAATGATCACCTTCACCTTTGCTAATGGAGGTGTGGCCACCATGCGGACCAGTGGGACAGAGCCCAAAATCAAGTACTACGCAGAGCTGTGTGCTCCTCCTGGGAACAGGTATGGATGGGTAGCAGCTACTGTCCCGTTTATTCTCTTGGCTTTCCAGCTGTTTGTGCTGAAGGGTTCAACAGAACCTTCCAGCTTTCCAATTGTGATTTAGTTGGAAATGCTGTCACAGAGTCTGAGGGAGTATGTGATGCTAATAGCTGCCTGAGGGGCTGGAGTAAGTATAAGGTACTTCTTACTTCCCTTTGAACTTCTTTGTATGGGAAAATTTTCTTCCTAATTTCAGTAATATTGATGACAATTCCGTTTTCTAGGTAGTTTTGTTGGTGTTCAGCATCATTGAATTTTCTCTGTTTCTCTTTCATGAAGGAACAGGCATTTAACCTATCAAATAAGTCACTAGTTAAGACACCCACCTCCTGTTTCGGGGTACCCAGGTACAATGCCTGGTTCTGACTCCTGTTTCCACCTGCCTGCTAATATGCATCCTGGGAAGCAGCAGGTCAAGTGCTTGGGTCTCTGCTGCCCGTGTGGACAGCCCACATTGAGGGAACTCACTGGTGGGAAGTGTTCTGTCCATGTGTGTCTACGTACACTTAGATTTAGATCTTTCCCTGTTTCCAAAATTAACAAAATTTATTTTTAAAAGAAAATATATTCTATAAAACTTGAGCAGATGTTTTTGCACACCAGTGGAGCTCTGAGCTGCATCTCAAGGCAGGGAAGAGTCATGTCTGAAATGGTCCTCACCACCAGGAGCTGGCAGGCAGCTGGTGGGCAGCTGGTGGGCAGCTGGTGGGCAGCTGGCTGCAGGGGCATGTTTCCTGTGGCCTCGGCCAAGGGTCTGAGCCAGTCAGCCGCCAAGAGCCACAGCCTTTAGAACTCTAGCAGCCTCAGTGCGTGTTCTCAGCACGTGTACATATAGTATCACCAACCTGTCACGTGGATAACCAGCTCTTCCCTCTTCAGAATACAGTGGAGGACCAGGAAAAAAGATCCCTTAAGGGAAATTAAGTTCACGACTCTGCAATAGAAACAAAGCGCAAGCCATATAAATAATTAAGATTTTTCTGCTAGCCACACTTTAAGGAAAGATATAGGTAAAACAAATTTTAGCTGTGAAATTTATTTAAAAAATAAATTTTATTTATGCACTAAGATTTTATTTAACTTAGTACATGCACAATGTTGCTACAACTTGTAATGAATGTGAAGATTCTTTAGATATTTTATATTGTTTTGTTTCCAAAGAAAAAGTCTTTAATATCTGCTTAGAATATACAATTAAAATCTGTCTCAATTTGAATGTTTCATTCATTTGTATTGGATATACCTGATCTGTATTTAGGTTTCATAAAATTTAGAGGAAAAAGTAGATTTTTTTAATATTCATATTGCTCCAAACATACTGTAGTTTAACAACAATTGAGGTAAGTATTTCCTGAATTTGAATGTCAGTGAACTTTAATGAAATTAAATTGACTTCCTTGGTCAAGCATAGTTCAGATCCTCAGTGGCCGCATGTAACTGGTGGCCGCTGTAGTAGCCAGCACTGGTCTCAGGCAATTGCCCCAACATATCCAGACAAAAGGCTTGCTCGTGGAAGGGCTTTTTTCCACTTTATGAGTTCAATTTACATTATGAACACGTGGAATTGAAAGCAGAGGGAAACTTGTGAGCTTTGTATCATGGATTTCATGTGTTCGTGGAAGTCTACAGTCATCTAAAATGGAAGAGCCCTCAAGTGTTAACCTGCGCCTTAGAAATATTTCCATTGGGACAGATGTCTTTAGTTTTGTCCAACTCTAAATTTGAGAAAAGCACAGACCTACAGAAACCCTGAAATATTAAAGCAAGGAATATCTACATCCCTTTCAGCTACAACAGGGATCAGCAAGTGGTTTCTGTAAAGAGCAGGTGTAGGTACCTTCTCAACTGTGGCAGGCCACATACTCTCTGTCTGTAGTGTAGAAGGGAGTGTGTAACCATGTTCTGATAAAAACTTTATTTACAAAAATAGGCCCTGAGCTAGAGTTTGCTGACCCTGACCTTGACTCAGTAATTGCAACATTTTCATAATTTTCCCTATGTCTCAAGGTTATTAGATAATGATTGTATCAACACAGGGTTCCACAGAAAAACAAAACCAGTAGAATGTGATTAGTAAAAGATTGGTTGCAAGGAACTGCCCCACTTGAAGGTGGCATGCTGGGAGGAGCTGGGCGAGCATCTAAATTTCTCAGGCCAGGATGACAGCTGTATCTACCAGTGGAATTCTTCAGAAAAGCATCAGTTCTGCTTATAATGCCTTTCAAATGCAGTGTGACCACTCTAGATGGCCTAGGATCCTCACTTGTACTTAAAGTCAACTGAGGATAAACAGCATTGGTATCTACAGATGGCTTCCTAGCAGCACCAGGAGGTACCTAAGGACTGTGACTTGGCCAGATAGACACCCACTCAGGCTTGCCAGCTCTCCCAAAGAGCATGTTTTGTCTTGATCCAGGGTCAGATTGCACAGTGAATGTATACAGTGGTACTGATTTTGTTCTGCACATAAAAAACTCAGTGCCAAAAACTTAAGTCAACATATAAATGAATCATTGTGCTATAGTTAAAAACAAGACTTGATGAATAGGTTAGTAATTAGTGTTATTTTATATGTATTCTCCTTTGTTTTTTTTTGAGTTTTTTTATGTTTATTATTTTTTTATTAATAAAATTTATTTTGACATTCTTTACATAGTTAGTTAGAGTAAGAAGGTTCAAGGGCTACAGGAAAGTGAATAATACTAGTATGTTTTCCATATTGTTACCTTCATGTTTAAAGGGGGGTATTAAGGGAAAAGGCCCACCCAATTTCCCATCCTCCCCAGATCCCAGATGTAGGGCAATCTTTGAGGTTCTTGCTCAAGTGGTTTTGAAGTTTCAACAGTTATATATCGCTGCCAGTCTTGCCACTCCAAGAACTATGAGGTCTTTGAAAAATCCACTGATTGACATAGTCCATCATAGCTGAGATGGTTGGTTGACCTGTTCTGTCTTCTCTCCTTTCTTGTTAGGGTTCTGAGTGCAGCATTTTGATTGGGGAGATCTCCAAAGAAACTTCTTGTATGTGCTAGCAAGTATAGGGCCTGGCACAGTCCATCACCCTGATTAGCTGGTGGTTGTAATTGCTGGGTTAGTTCTGTTTTTATTGCCAACTTCTAATGGAACCAATGGATGTTGCAGTCCAGCCTGGTTCTGTCCAGCACATACTCGGCTCTCACATAAACCAGTGGGAACTGCAGCCTGGTTGGAGCGAACCGCAAGAACCCCCACCAGGCCCGCCCCCTACCCTGGTTTGCCAGTATGTGTAGCAGTAATCCAGTCTGTCCCACACCCCATTCCACCCCAGCCACTATCTTAGTTTTATGTCCTCCCATGGAAGTGGTAACCCAAGAGGGATGAGCCCACTATTTCCCTCCCAGGCCTCTCCCACTCCCAGATTCCAGCTGATGCTGTGGCTAAGCCTGAACAACACTCACCCACTCTAATTTTGTTTGCACCAGTAGGAATAATCTGCCCAGCCCGGCTTTTCCCTGATCTAGTCCACATGAGGTGCACAGGTGTTGTAGCCCTGCCTAGTCTGGTCTGCCCCCATCCCAGCCTACTCGTGTGGTTGTAGCTGTCCAGTAAAGGAACCCTCCCTTATTCCTCTGCCGGCTCTGCCCCCTTCCTTTCTTGTTCTCATGCTGGTTAAGCGCTGCGGGTGCTACCTTCTGGTATAGGCAACCTCACCTTGGTATTTCATATTGTGCACTAGTCATTGTTGTGACCGAACCTGGCTCGACCCACACTAGTGCTTGGATTTGCCAATGGATGACGTGGACAGATTCAGCCTGGTCTTGCCCCCACGTCTGCCAATTGTATGCCAGTGGGTAGCTTTCCATGGCCTTTTCTGGGCTCTTTCCTATCATGTTTCTTGCGCTGACCTGCCGGGTCTGTGTCCTGCCAGAGGAGTTGCCCAGGCTCCTCCATGAGAACCTCTCCCAATGCCAGGTTTCACGCTTACCAGGGGGTCCATGAGTCAGCCCTACTCAGTCCACCTCCTGTCATAGCAGGAACTGTGGCTTTTCCTGACTGGCCTTCCACCCAATCTGGTTCTTGCTGTTGGATGTTTCAGCCCAGCCATGGCTCGTCCATACCCACATATGGCTCACACATGGCTCAGTAGGGGTTGAGACCTTGCCTAGTCCATTGCACATCTGCCCTGGTCCTCCAGGACACCAGAGGGTGTGGGGGTCTGGCCCGGTTTGGTGCATCCAATCCCAGTCCACACTTGTGCCAAGGGAGACTACAACCGTTTCCCGATCAGAACGCAGCCCCCATTCCAGGTCACACACCCCTTGGTAGGAACCTCAACCCAGCTAGGGTTGTCCCCTTAGCTCCCCAACCAGGCCTGTTCCCAGCCATGGATCACTCGCATGCCAGTGGTTGCTCTGACTCAGCTTGGCACAGCCCCTCACCTGTCCCGACCTCTGCCTTAGACACTGTGGTTTAGCGTCCCTGGCTCATGTGGACCAGTAGGTACAAGAGCCTAGCTCTGCATGACCTGTGCTCCCTCCTGGTTGCTAGTTTTACTTGTGAGCTAAGGTTTGCTCAGTCGTGCCTGATCTACTCTGTTCCATTACCAGTTGACACATTAGCCAGCTGTTGGAGCTACTTTTGCAGGACAAGCCCCAAGCCATAGCTTCTGCATGGACTGGTATTTGGTGGTCAGCATTGTTCAGTGATTACAAGTTTTACAAAGGAAGAGTTACTACCAGTGGGAATCTTTACAAATGTTTCAGGTCCTAAAAACACAATGAAGCTAACTAAGCAGCGAATCAAAGCAACAAAACCTTAGAATCAAAGAAACAAAACCTTAGAATTCCCCGGCCGGGTGGTCAGCAGGCTGAGCCTGGCACCAGCCCGGGAACAGCTCACCACGTGCACATGGCGGCTGTCGTCTGAGATCCAGGCATGAGACGCCCTGTTCTGAGACCCACCAGCAGCCAGGAGGCTGCTGG